CCGCGCCACACTTCTGTTTTAAATCTGTTAGCTTAATTATTTAAGTCAGATATATTTCGCCTTTTTTTTTTAAATGAAAACAAATTGTTATTTTTATTTTAGACCTATTACTTACATAGGCTATACATTTTCCTTAAAGCATCCCATTTTGTCCCAGGGCTTGAAAACCTGTGCCTAGGCTAGTTAGGTCCTGCAGAAACTTGTGAACGATGCTCTTAGTTGTGGCATCACCGTTTAGTGACATCATTGAACGCTCCGGGAAAAAGTATTGTCAAGTGTCAGTCAAAGCGCCTTTTAATTGCGGTTTTGAATCCAGCAATTATTTATTTACAAATTATAAGCTCTGATTATGACAAGTGTGGTATAAAAGCTTTGTTTATTAGAGGAATATTTGGTTAACTGGAAAATCTTACATCGCGACCATGCTTTTGGATGCCGTTTGAGCCCATATTGAGCCTACATTTATGCGGCTTTGTTCTTGGTCACGAATTTCCAAATTCAATAATATTTAGGCATCGTTTCTTTTCCTAAATCCTCACCGTCTAACCCTCTAATTTCGCAGGTTTATTTTATTGTCATTCACTTATCATCACTGTTTTCGCATCTCTTACTGTGATAAACATGCGGAAGGGAAATGAAATTTCATGGCCATGAATTAAGAATTCATTCGATGTATTAATTTGTTCCCTCATTTTAGTTAAATCATGGGTTATTTCAGGAACAAAATTAATGAATCATGGACAGTGGCCACAAATTAATAAGTTGTAGGAATGAATCCTTCCCCCGCAGTGTCCCGCAGCCCTGCAACCTTCACCTAAATGTTTCAAATATGAAACAATTATCTGGGGAAATGACAGTTACTACATTTCATGTTGAAGAACTTTGTGTTGTTTCTATTTTAATGCACTTTTAAAGTTTAAATCACATTAAAAGCTTAATTTGTAATTATGAGTGAATGATGACTGTTTTCGCATCTCTTACTGTGATAAACATGCGGAAGGGAAATGAAATTTCATGGCCATGAATTAAGAATTCATTCGATGTATTAATTTGTTCCCTCATTTTAGTTAAATCATGGGTTATTTCAGGAACAAAATTAATGAATCATGGACAGTGGCCACAAATTAATAAGTTGTAGGAATGAATCCTTCCCCCGCAGTGTCCCGCAGCCCTGCAACCTTCACCTAAATGTTTCAAATATGAAACAATTATCTGGGGAAATGACAGTTACTACATTTCATGTTGAAGAACTTTGTGTTGTTTCTATTTTAATGCACTTTTAAAGTTTAAATCACATTAAAAGCTTAATTTGTAATTATGAGTGAATGATGCTGCATTTATATAACATCACTCACAGCTAGGGATGGATATCGTTAAGGTTTTAACGGGATTATTCTTACCGATACTGCTTATCGATTCGGTACTTTAACTGTATTCTTATCGGAACTTTTTGTTTTATATATATATATATATATATATATATATATGACAAATTAAGAGCTGAATTAACATTGCTTTATATTCTGAAATGTAAAATAAATATTTAATGAAATGATTATAAAACATTAATTTGTAAATGCACCAGTGTGCAGGCATTTTTAAGTGTTTTATACATAAGATAAGATGCCGTAAGAACATGAACAAAGAAACAAAGTAAAACAAACTGACAAATACAATAAAACAAATACACAAATGAAATGAAATAAACAATGCTGTCATTTTTCCATGAAGTTCTACTAGCATTCAGGTAAGTAATAGCCTACAAAGGAAATCTAAAAGTAATCAAATGTAAATGAATACTGCATAGTTTTCAGTGTATGTATTGATAGATTAATGCCTATTAAAGCTATAACGTTATTCCGATTAAGAGCAGATTTGCATTTTGATGGCCCAAGCGCCAGTCTGTCACTTTAAGACAATATATTGACACACATCGGATTTTCTCCCAACTGTTCTCCTCTACTTAAGACAAACTGTGTTTAAGTAAATACTCTCTAAGCCGGCCATTTGGACATATTTTGTGTGTATTTGCTCGATTGGACACGCCCGAAGCTCAAAGTGTAATTTGTTTGTCCGTTTTGGAGCGTGCCGCGCACACACATTTCAGCCTGAGGAACAGCGTATCTTGTGCGCAGGGCCGTTTCTAGCCAATTTGACGCCCTAGGCTAAATCCCTATTGCCCCCCCCAATTATATATGTACTACTTTTTTGTCTTTATCCGTTTTTTGTTAAATTTTTTTGTTGTTGATTTAAAGTGTCAGTTATTGCATTATTATTTCAGTCAAACCTATAAAACCCCTTTGTTACCCCAAACTACATATAAAAGCTTTATCAGTGGCATAAAAGTAACCAATGCAGCTACTTAATCATTTGCTACTCGTTAACGCATTAACGTCCCCTTTAAATAACGTGACGCTCTGCCCTCTATGACGCTGCTCCCATTAAGCGCTGTTGAAAGTGAATGAATTGATTCAGCATTTCGACACCTCCGTAAGGATGCAACTCGACAAAGCGGTCTAATAAAGGATGTATTGATCTTGTGAATTAGCGAATTTTACTATACAAATATTTTTTAATTGGAT